CTGGGTACAGGTTTGGTTTACCATTATAAAACAAACCATATCTTAGTATATTAATGTATCGAATCATCTGGCAAACTTAGAAACTAAAGATTCGTTACACCCTCATCTAAGTCACACACACCAGTGAACATCCCTCTTAACGGAAGCTGTAAAATAACGTCCATAACCAGTTAGGAAACGAAATCGACCTCGAGAATCTTTAGAATCTTGAACACAGACGAGGTATTTCTTCTCTGTTTACCAATTTTTTATTTATTTTGAGGAACGAAATATACGAGACCGTGAACGATTGCCTCTACCCTCACAGTAGCGGGCAGGCTAATAATTATACTCCCAATAACAGTGAAACATCTCCATTGACAAACGAATTATTTAACATACGAACCTTTGAGAACCTGAACCCAGATTTGTTGTAAGAATGTCATTACCATTTCAAACAGTGCGTTTAATTAATCATCAGTATTGCTAATTATTTTTATGCTAATTTGACGGACGTGGATAGAAGTGACAAACATTTCAGCGCCTTCCTTAATGAAAATCAGGGGGAAAAATCTAAAATTAGTTAATATTCTCCGTTTTTAATCTCCTCGCTAGCATTATATTGCGACCGATGTAATTGAAGTGTTCATTAGTCTCGGTGGAGTATCATTGTGATTTTGAGTAGGAAAAAAAAATATGATGCTCTGGGGTAGTCAATTTAAGGGTTTATAATCCCACATCTGTAGATTCATGACTTATTACAGGTGTTTGATAGATCACCTTTGTACCTTCTGGCTGCTCCTAGTGTAAAGCTGGTGGGGGGGGGGGTGAATTACTTACCATTTATATAGTAGTTATTGTTCTTGTTTGTGTGTGTAGCCATATACTTCTTCATCATGGGCTCTGGGCGGCCGATGGTAGTTAATGCTGATGTATTTTACTAAATTACCAACTAGATCTATTTTTTTTTAATTATGTCGTAATTACGGAAGAATTATGATAAATGTATCATTGATTTACGCTCACCTGTAGCCAGAGTAATTGTTATTAAATATGAATTAGTATTAAATTAAATGGTCTTTGATATACTACAGGGCGTCAATCATGCAGTGCGGAGAGAGAGAGATAATAAAGCTCATTAAATCCAGTTATCAAGAGAGAGTTGTTGTGGTGTTGAGACAATTTACCCAGGTGAAGGTGTGGTGTAATAGTGGCAGTGGTAGTAGTGTTGTCATGGTAATTATGGTCGTTGTGGTGGTAATTTGAGGTTTGTCTTTCTTGTTTGTGGTCGTTGTGGTTTTGGTCTCTCTCTCTCTCTCTCTCTCTCTCTCTCTCTCTCTCTCGTCTCCTTAATCACCCATTTGAAATTCCCTTCAGAATCCAAAGTTCAGAGCCGAGTATTTTTTTTTTCACACTGGTCGTTTTTATTGCGAATTCTTTCACGTCTTCTTTCTCTCCTAAAGTTCTTCTCCTCTATAAACAATGTCGTCTAGATATCCCGTCTTTATTGTCTTCCTCTCTATGTCTCTCTTTTATCACGTTTATCCTTTATTTCTCCTATTTAGTAACAGTCGTTAAGGTGTTCAATTTTTTTTTGTGTCACTTGTGTGCTATTTATCATCGTCTTCCTCCAATTACACGGTTTATCACGATTTTTCTTCTTAGTTTCATTTTTCATCATCCTGTCTCTCTTGTCACCTCATCCATTCTCTTATTTTCTCTTCACTCTATATTACGTTGTGCTCTCTCTCTCTCTCTCTCTCTCTCTCTCTCTCTCTCTCTCTCTCTCTCTCTCTTTTCAGTTTAATTATCTCTTCTTGAACTTTCCCCGATATCTATCCGTGTTTTTTCAATCTCTTTACTTTCGTTAATTTCTCCTGATTTTTAGCGTCTTGTCTGCCTCTTCCCACACTCTCTTGGTTTTCTACTTACCTTATCTTTATCAGTTTTGCTATATATTTTAGTTGTTTTATGCACCTTTTTTTCTTCCATCCTTCTATGCAATTGATTTATTTTGTTTTCTTATATTTCCTCTTCTTCATCTTTATCGTTAATATCATCCTCGTTTGCTTTATTTTCCTCATCTTTCACAGCTTCCTCACAGTTCTTTATCTATTTAATCTTCCTCACCTCCTAGCATCATCTATCGTCTTCCTCACTACTCGTATCGTCCTCACCACCACCACCACCGTGAGACAAGACCAATCCTCCCCGCCCACCTCCATCAGCTTCGTCACTTCTCATGGTTGCTTCCTGAGAGACCAACTTGTGCCTCTCTGTGGCGTGGCAACAAAGGCTTACGGCCCCTCCTCCCAAAGTTGGCACCAGGTTATCCCTCTTCCTCTCTGGGCTCTCCTCCTCTCTACCATGTTCCTCCTCTCTACCACATGTGTTCCTCCTCTCTACCACATGTGTTCCTCCTCTCTACCACATGTGTTCCTCCTCTCTACCACATGTGTTCCTCCTCTCTACCACATGTGTTCCTCCTCTCTACCACATGTGTTCCTCCTTTCTACCACATGTGTTCCTCCTCTCTACCACATGTGTTCCTCCTCTCCCTCATCCTCCATTGCTACAATAACTGAGAATATTAAATGTGCACAAACAGTAATAAGAATAAAGATGATGAAAGTTATAAAGTAGATTTTATCTGTTGTAAATATGAAAAGTGTTCAAAATATCTCTAGAAATCATATATTCTCAACACGTCGTTACAGTTAAAATCACGCGGGTATGTCCCTCAGTGTCAACAGAGCTTTTCTCGTGTCTACTCTAGTCCATGAAATCATTTACATTCCTCATCTCTGTCACCTCCACGCCAGAGGACCCGGGAGCCCACGAGATCCCACATTTCCCGTGTCCTCAGTGATCCAGGACCCTCACATATCAACAGGTCCTGTCACTCAGTGCCTCCCCCAGTATAACTCCCAGAATCCTAAAGGCCACAGCACACACAACATCATCATCAAGAAAGCATCTAGCATCCTCCGCGTCCCCTAACCTCCTCTCAACAAGACCCCGCCCAGTACCTCGGTGTGACCCCCCCCACCCCACCCCCCACCCCCATCCTTCTCTTCGCCGGGTCCTGTGTGGAGATATAATTGAATTGATTGCAAATGTGGGCACTCGTTCTTCCCGGGAGGGGGGAAAAAGTTAACGGTCTTAGTTTTAAAATGAAAAATCTTATAATGATATATTAATGAGCAGACGGGTTCCTCGCCAGCATTATGGAAAATGGTGAGCGCCGCCCGACATCAACAAGTGATTAATGAAGGCTAGAGGACCCTCACCCCTGCTGCCTGCCTCCCCTGTTGCCTCACCCCCACCTCCCTTGTTACCTCACCCCTGCACTCCCCTGTTGCCTCACTCCTCCCCACTTTGCTGCTCACCCTCCCCGCCCTGCTGCCTCATCCCTCCCCCTGCTGCCTCACCCCTCCCCCACCCTGCTGCCCTCACCCTCCCACCTGCTGTCTCACCCCTCCTCCCACCCAACTGCCTCATCCCACCCTTACCCTTCTGTCCACCCCTCCTCCACCCTGCCTCATTCCTCCCCCCACCCCTACCACTCCCCTCCCCATCCTACTGCCCTAACCCCTCCTCCATCCTACTTCCCTTACCCCTCCTCCCACCCCTGCAAGCCCCTAACCCCTCCTCCAACCCTACTGCCTAACCCTCCTCCACCCCTACTGCCTAACCCCTCCTCCACCCTACTGCCTAACCCCTCCTCCACCCCTACTGCCTCACCCCTCCTCCACCCTACTGCCTAACCTCCTCCACCCTACTGCCTAACCCCTCCTCCACCCCTACTGCCCCTAACCCCTCCCTCCATCCCTGCCCCTTACCCCTCCCTCCCACCCCTACTGCCTCACCCTCCTCCCACCCCTGCCCTAACCCCTCCTCCCACCTCTTCAACCTCCCTCCACCCCTACTGCCTCCCTCTCACCCCTGCCTAACCCCTCCTCCCACCCTACTGCCTAACCCTCCTCCCACCCCTACTGCCTTACCCCTCCTTCCCACCCCACTGCCTAACCCCTCCTCCACCCTACTGCCTAACCCCTCCTCCACCCTACTGCCTTACCCCTCCTTCACCCCACTGCCTAACCCCTCCTCCACCCTACTGCCACACCCCTCCTCCACCCTGGTAGGCCAAGAATAAATGAGAAAAAGTTAAAAAATATCTTGTTCACTTGACTGTGTTTTCATGAGTCGTGTCCCCAGCCCCCAGACACTCCACAAGCTTCTTGTTTGTCTCTCTGGATAACAAGATACCAAGAGCCTTAAATCCCTCTCGTGCTGTAGGATAAATGATAAATTATAGGTAATCACGGATGAGTTATGATATTGCTCACTCGCATCATGAAACAACAACAGGGAGCTAACTATAATCAGTGTTATGTGATTTGCCTGTAACGTTCTCTTGTTTATCGTCTCTGGTGGCAAAATCTGTTCCGTCACACCTGTGGGTCTCGGCAGCTTTGGCTTGATCTAACAGAAATATAATGATGTTATATCTCCCCGCCATCAACTCTTTTCCTCGATAAATCTCGTAGGAGGAGATTAAATTGATGGTCATTATCAGATCTATTCCTTGGACAGTTTTATGTAAATGTGAAGAATAATCGTTTCTTCTGTTATATACTGTATGAGGTATAGGGAGATATAGTGTGATTATAAGGAAGTTGTGTTATTTGGTTATGATAGAGTGGGGTGAATTTTTTCTTGTTGGTACAGCTTCATCCATTGTGTGTGTGTGTGTGTGTGTGTGTGTGTGTGTGTGTGTGTGTGTGTGTGTGTGTGTGTGTGTGTGTGGAAAGTGACACATATTACAGATGGTGGCAGACATTATGACAAGATAAATTTGTTCTGTTGTGTGGCGGGAGAGTGAGATGAGGCTGTACCATTATGAGGGCCCGGTGTACAACAGGTGTGAGGAGAGGTTGTGTTGCCATGAGGGGCAGGTGCACCTCCCCACATTCCGCATGTACCATTTCCAACAGTTAATGTGTTGTTGTCACCTACAGATCAGTTCCTGGGTCTAGAGCTGCCCCACGAGCGAGTGTTCCGGGGGATGTTCCAGGTACGCAGCGGGGATAGGTGGACCTCGCAGCTGGCTGACCACACCAACCCGTCCTACATCACCACGGCCCAGCAGTACGCCGCGCGCCTCGACAGTGTGTATGGCAACTCCGTCTTCAAGAATGTCTTTATTCGCTCCGAAGTTCTGCAGCTTGACCGGTCAGTTTTCCTTAACCTTTGTATGTGTTATTAATGGTCACCCCTTGTTAAATTATTTTACCTTTCTTATATTTTGTTCTTTGTGTAAATAAAAGAAATACATCAACTGGGCGGTGGTGGAAGGCATATTTGCTTACGTTATCAATTTGGTATTATGTAATTGTTATCAAAGGGCCCAGTCTAACCTAACCTAATCTAACCTAACCTAACCTAACCTAACCTAACCTAACCTAACCTAACCTAACCTAAATTTCCTTATGTTGGTTTTGGTTAGGTTACTTTAGAAGAGAACAACATTGGGCAGTGACAGACTAGGGGTTACATTGTCTACATGAGATTTGTCTTCACACGGCACCTAACTCCATCCTCCTCATGTTGTGTTTCTCAGCAAGTTTCCCAATTAAGAATATAAACGAACATTCTTACCATTGGGAAGAGAATTGTTTGCTGAATGATTTTTATGAAACAGTTTTCGCTCTTCATATATACCAGCCATTTTATAACCCATTAAACATCATCATTCGTACTATCCAATTAAGTTAGTTACGTGGTTGTGTGGTTATCGCTGTACGAGTAACTCAGGTTTAAATGTTCAAATCTGAGTAATGAGTAAAACTGGTTCAAGATTATTTTTGAGGGAGTGGTGAGGACTGGTCTCTCTCTCTCTCTCTCTCTCTCTCTCTCTCTCTCTCTCTCTCTCTCTCTCTCATAAGATGGTGCCCTCACGACTGACCGCAGACATACCTCCTCTCTAGTCTGTGTTGCCAGGTGTGTGTGTCCTTTATAACAACACTCTACCACCACCTCCTTGCTAGTAAATTAACCTAAGCTAACCACTGCAACAAGGGACACTCATTCACACCTAACTGAGGGTGATTTTTAGCAGAGGAGTATTGACAGGCTGTTTTTAATAAGGGCACACAACATCGTACAACTGGCAGTGTAAACAATTAGAGGTTTGCCTCCGGTTGGTTGTTTGTGATGATGCCGCCACCTCGTTAAAGAGCGGTGACAGTTAACCTACTCAGTTAATAATAATTCTGACTTTTGACAACTTTTAACACACTTTATTGCTACTAGGGGGAGATGCGGCGGCCGAGTTGATACAGGGCTCCCTTCCTGTTCTGGGGGTCACTGGTTCGGTCACGGGAGCTACCTGCACACCCAGCTGTAAATGGATACTTGAGTTTGTGGAAGGGAAGGTGATGGAGTGCAATGTAGTGTGTAGGATCAATGCTCCCTGATGGGCAGTTGTGTTTATGGAACTCACTTGCTACTGAATGTATGATGAGGAGTGTGAGGTGACATTTATGGGGGGAGAGTGTGGTGTGGAGGAACCCTATCAGAGAGAAGTAACCTGAAATATAAGACAAACCCTAACTTTGTTCACGTATCGCTTAATGGACTGTGACCTTGGCGAGGATGACTTGTAAAGGTCAAGATCAGAACAAAAACTCATATTAACACACAAGTCTCCTGTCCACTGTATGTGTGACCTTGAGAACACGCCCATCACATGATCTTGCCACTGTTGTAGTCAGGAGTGTGACGGACGGGCACCCCAAAAACATAACGTCCCGTGGTGCACCGGCCGACACAAAAAAAGAGAAATGACACAGTTCCCCGAGTCTCCGGAGGCCAATTACTATGCAGTATCAACAGGTCGCCTCGAGGAGCCTCGTGTTTCGTGCCACAAACACCTCAAAACTGGCAGTGTTAGTTGGTGTTTTTGTGGTTTGTGTAGAGGACTATGGGAGAGGAGACTGAGCGAGCGTTGTGGATGATGTAGCGATATACCGGAGAGTTATAATGTGGATATGAGTAAGACTGTGTTTCACCTTATAGTTATATAACAGGGACACGGGAGAGCTGTCGTTTATTAAATTATAGCATAAGACAGATAACTTACCGTGAGGGTTGTACAGCAGATTGAAAGACTCTTGATAAATACCTATGGCTGATTGTTGCTGTTGCAGAGGCCCCAACGACACCCTGGTGGTGCACTTCAACCTACACATCAACTACCGCCGCCTCCACCTGGACGCCGCCGACCTCTACCTGGTGTTGGTAACGGAGATCCGAAGGGCGAACTCCGCTGCCCTCACTGGCATCTCCATAGACGAGGACACGGTTGAGATACAGGGTGAGTACCCCACCTACTACCTCTCACTGTCTTGTCATGTTCCCTCCTGTCATGTTCGCTCATCATGTCTTAATACTCATGTTTTCACTTCTTTTTTTTTTACCCATTGTCCTGGTGAATAATTTTTTTTCTCATTTTATTTC